TAGATTTCATCCTAAAAGTGTACGTAGGCACAAAAGCTAGATTTTGCGTACGCACAAAAATTTGATTTATAAAACCATGCGTACGCCAGAACCTGTGCAAAAATCCTTTTATATATCCCTGTCAGCGGAAGATTGTGTGTACATGCCTCCCCAAAATCACCATATATGGAGCTTACAACGCCTAGTTTTACTATGCATAACCTCATTTGCATATCATTTCCATGCATATTCCTTGTAGAGGGCTGCCATGTTTAACACCGTCAAAGGTACAAGACATTAGGAAAATATGACATGCGGACTAAAATGCAATTTGTACAGTACAATACATTGCTAAAAAAAACATTCACTGTCCTTGTCTTGTTTTCAAATAAATATATCAAAATTAATGTAAAAACAAAATTGTATAAAATACTTTTTAGAGAATCTTTTTAGAATAGAGTGGATCTCTTTCTTTTCCACTGGCCAAAGCAGTATATAATTGTTTTAAACAAATTAAATGGTTTAGGATATTTAAATAGGCTATAGTTGAATCAGAAATACGGTGTGTGTAAATAAGTGTACATAATTGTCTGACGCGGCGTCACTGACAAATTATTATAAAAAAGAAATGTGCAAATCTTATCATTTGCTTCAGATTCTATCCTTCAATCACAATGCTATTTTCATAATGTTCTGAATGTTCGCGAAATAAACACCTCCGTGCAGCCTTGGTTGTGCAGTAGGCTAATGTATTCGGACCTATTTAAACTTGCCAGCGGACCGTTTGACCACAGAATCCAGTTGTGTCTGCCACAATATCGAAGTAAGTGTGCATCGTTGATGTTCTTGCTAAAAAAAAAAATTTCTCTTAACATGAGATCTGCAGTTTAAAGAAACATTACTGTGTGCCTAGCACTAAAACACTAGCTTTTCTAATCTTCTTGTATTCTATCTATTTGTTTTTTTTTATTATACAATTAACTAAAGCAAAAAAGGCCTCTAACACTAGCTTGCTCTATTCTATTCTATCTGTTTTCTTTTTATTTATTATATAATTAAAATACCCTTGCTATGTGTACTGCGTTAAGCTAACTGAGACTTATAGCACTTGTGTATCATTGCTCTTTTGTTGATTTTGTTTGCTTCCATTGTCCTCATTTGTAAGTCGCTTTGGATAAAAGCGTCTGCTAAATGACTAAATGTAAATAAAAAAAAAAAAAACACTAGCTTTTCTAATCTTCTTGTATTCTATCTATTTGTTTTTTTTTATTATACAATTAACTAAAGCAAAAAAGGCCTCTAACACTAGCTTGCTCTATTCTATTCTATCTGTTTTCTTTTTATTTATTATATAATTAAAATACCCTTGCTATGTGTACTGCGTTAAGCTAACTGAGACTTATAGCACTTGTGTATCATTGCTCTTTTGTTGATTTTGTTTGCTTCCATTGTCCTCATTTGTAAGTCGCTTTGGATAAAAGCTTCTGCTAAATGACTAAATGTAAATATGTCAGAAGAGCTTTTTAGCTAATATTTAGTAAATATTTAGTCTCCTCTACTGACCAGTTTGTAGGACACAAGTAAACATGCTCATGTTCGTCAGACATATGTAAACATATTAAGGTATTATTGAATCAGATTGAGAAAATAGTTAGATTCAATGCTTCTTCATGCATTTCTTCATATTGATTATTTATCATTTCATGATTATTTCAGGTCTACACCACACCTACCAAACTGAAATCAACTGGGACATTTACATGAAGGCTTTTCAGTCCACTTGAGCCATCAATGTATTTATTTAGTTGCATGTAAATGTAACTACTAAGATTTACTGTGTGGAAAAAAAAGTATAACTGATTTCATAAAATAGATACTTTAAGAGCAGCCAACATCTCTTCAGATGGGATGGCATGCTTTTTTTTTCATGGAAATTTTATGCAGAATTTTTCAAAAAGCATTTTAAAATGACTATAAAATACAAAATGACCGTATATCTGGTCTTTATTAGACAGCCTGTTTCGCGTTATCTAAACCAGCCAGACCATCTGCGGCCTGAGTTCACAGTCAAACAACTTTTGAGCGATGCTATAGAAGCATAAAGGCTGACGGGAAATTTTCACGGGCAGAATGAAAGACACTCTGCTCTGGTTGGTATATAATTTAAATCTTATTTAAAAATGCCCATTATTTTAGAAAATCCTGAGCTGCTAAATAAATCGACAGAGACAAGTGAGAGCGGTCCGTCTTTTGCAACGGTTAAATAAATTTAACGCATACTGTCAGTTTAACAAGCAGTGCATTAAACAGCCATATTATTAGGAGGAAAAATACAGTTTCTTCCAGTTGTCAAGACATTTGCGGCGAACACGAAAGTTGGTATAAAAACTATAAACCCCTGCTAACTGTACACATCTCCTTGAAACCCGCTGTCATGGCTGTGAAGCGCTATTTTAACTTGTTCCTCTCGTGTCAATATGGGTAACACATACTGCAAAAAAAACATGAGTGATCAATGTTGAGACTTCAGATGTAACTGCCATAAAAACACATTTTTGCCGGTCTTTGCACTGCTAATCAGTTGAGGGACCCAGAGTCAGTAAGCTAATCAAAACAACACATGAGCTCTATTCGAACAATATTTTCTAGTGTTCGCGGCTGTACAAAACTCCCACAGACTTAGTATTTTAAGAATACTAAAATAACTTAAATTCTGCATAAAACTAAAAAATGTCACGTCTCGTTTTATGAAATAATGACTGGTTTTAGTCTAACTGACCTCTCCCTGTTGACTGGGACACCGCGCCTCCTTCCCAGCGACGCCATCTTGAAAATGCAACGGACTAGACTTGACGCAAAACCCGTCGCGGTGCACTGTGGGTAATGCAGTTCTATGCTCCTCTATTGATTATGTTTAACGTTCTCGAAAGCTTCATAGAGACTACAAATCCCTTGAAACTGTTTAGTTGGGGACCCTACCACCTGAACAGAATGTGTAACGATATTAATATGTGCTTTGTTTTGTTAAAGACAGTTGTTTGTAATACATGAAACACATTCTTTCGTGCAACAGACCAGTAATTGATTTTGACTATGGTTTAATCCGTCAGGCTATATAATTTAGGCTTGTGTTTTAAATAGCGGAGGTGACCAATCGAAAGCAAGGACAACACTATGGGGCTTTTAATAGGACAAACCATTCTCAAAGCGAATGCAGACGTTGCACAAAGAATGTGATCTGACAAAATGATTTAACGGTTTTGTAGCGTGTCCAAAACTTTCGGTCATGTTGTGAACGTGGATGCGATCAACAAGGCACTCACCCATAATGTGGTCGGTTCTCGTTTATGCGGTGAGTCCCGTCCTCGTACGGCACTCACGGAGCTGGTGCATAGGGGGTGGAGAGGAGCCGTGTTATAACAACTACACGGTGCTCGGTAACACGTGCAGGCTTTGCGCTCTCTGTCTCCCCCAATAGTGATGGATTGCATAACATAAACACGTTGGAAACAATAACTTGATATCTGCATGCATTAATATAAGTGAGGAAACAAAGTTAAATAAATTAAAAATATTTTTAAGAGAGAGAACCATGGTAATTATAGTCAACTAAAAACTTAGTTGACTATAATTACCGTTACTTGAAATAAAATATAAATTAAAAAACTTATTTTATCTAACCTATAGTTGCCAAGACGTTGTTTTTATCTTGATGTATTAAAAAAATATTGAAATACAAAAAAATACACAATTATAATAAAAAGACATAAACATTTTTTAAATGACAAAAACAATAAAATAACTCAAACTTAAAATATAAAAAATAAAGCTATAATTGTATCTCTATATGATACTTAAATGAAACTGAAGGGAACTAAAAACAAAGCTTTCTGGAATAATTTTTCCTAACCTCTTAATGTGTTCAAATTCCTTTAGAATAAATTTAGATTTTACAGAAAAAAAAACATTGAATATTCATGGAAAAACATATTTGAAAAAATGGCATTAATTACAAAGTCACTGTAACTGTACTAGAAAAACTCAAATTGAGTACAATTCACTGTTCAGCTATTTAAAGGGACAGTTAATTAAAAAAAAAAAAGAAAAGAAAATTGTCATTATTTACTCACCCTCATGTCATTTAAACCTGAATGACTTTTGTTTCTTTTTATTTGTGAAAAATATGAATATATCAATTGTTCACCATTCAATAAAAGTCAATGTTGTCTAGATCCCAACATACTTCAAAATATCTGTATCTTATCATTTGTGCTCCACAGAAAAATGTCATATGGGTTTGGAACAACGTAAGGGTGCAGAAATGCACCGTTTATGAAATGCTAAATATTAATTATATATATATATATATATATATATATTCAAAAGTACACACAATGATAATGCTAAAATTATGACGATAACGCATGGACATAAACACCATAAATCAAGTTTTATCTTAATTTTTTTTTTATTCAAAACCATGGATAGTAATATTAAAAGTACATAAGTGTGTAAAAACAGATGAATTTCAGGCATCTTTAGGCTTTATTACATCACAATTTGACATATCAGAGCCCAGTTGCTTTATTTAAAAAAAGACGGCTTTCATTATCATCACCAGGAATATCATGGTCATCAATGGTGTCAGCACAGAACATGGCATGATGGTCTGCTCTGTGCGCTGCCTACCCTGCAAACAACCGATCTTGCTGAAGGCAGTTCATCAACTGGCTTTTAATAAGACCCCTGGGAATTTTGGGAGTAACTAACATACACTGACATTCATACGCTCATATTCGGTTATTCAACGCACACACACACGCATCCAACCACATGTAACAGAATCCCCTATGCAGAGGTGCTTTATTGTTTTTATAAAGTGTGCATCCTGAGAGGTTCAGCCCTGCAAATATATGGGCAGGCGATTGTCTCCAGAGTCTGAGCTCTTCACTGGCCATAGTATACACAGATACACACATGCAAAAGCACAAGATCAGCCTAGAACATGCACAGAAGAAACAGTCGTTTCTGACAGGACGGTTAGATTGTGATGTCCCTAAAACTCCACGCCAGGCTGAGTGTGCACGTTCTGCGCATGTGGGAACACAAGTACACGTGTAACTCTCTCGTGAGCACCACTAAATCTGAAGGTGTAAGGCCAGAGAGGCATATGGAGTCTAACGTCACTCTTATGATCATATCAAACAGTCGATATTTTGAGTTCATAACAGGTGTCATAATCCCCTCACTTCTCTGGATTGGCTTGAAAGTCCGCTTGAGTCACTGGGAAACTAGCCCACCTCAAAGTCCACACTCTTATCTGTCCTAAGAAAACGTTTTGTATTTTCAGATCTCTCCCCTTCTTAAATCGCACTTACTCGCAAACAAAAAATAAATCTCTTTCTTTTGTGGAGTTTCAAGACCAGTTAGACAGATTAGGGAATCCCAAAAGATACCCATCCCACCCAATCCCAAATCATCCTATTAGAATGGAGATCGTCCCCATCTCTGGCTCTCAGTGGAGGACGTGCTCCAGGTAATGGGGGTGAGGGTTTTCTTTGACGTATTTCTGGATGTACCAGCAGGTTAAATGGGCTTTTAGGTCCTCCTCTACCACAAAGTCCATTGCAGCCTAGCAAAACCAATCACAAACTATATTATTTAATGCACACCAACGAACAACATAACGTAATATCATGATGTACTATATAAACCAGTTCACACTGATCTTGAGTAACCTTCTACAACCTTGGCAAGGTGTTTGGCGATCTCTCGTCCTCGGTAAGCTTCAGGAACCTCGGTGTGCTGTAGATCCACTGTCTTCTTCCCCACATATTCATACAGCAGAACAGCTCTGTCATGGGAACCTTCAATAGAGATGCAAAAACATTAGTCAGCGTACAGTAAACAAAGTTATTCCTGACCGTGAAGAACTGCTCAGTCAAACAGGATGCATGTCTGTGCTTTGTTTTTCATTTTCACCGTCGTAAACGAGCGCTTTACGGGGAAATAGTCGCATAGTCGTGGGCTGGGTTTATGTCTCTATGTTATCGTAATTTTTGTGAATGCAAACCCTTTATTTTCATGTGAAACCCCGCGAGTAATAAGCGCAAGTCTGTTCCTGCTCCTCCGCTGTTGCTACAGAATGACATAAACGTAGCGACATGAGTTTGCTTTGTACCGAGAGAAAGATGATGGAACAGGAAGTAGCCTAAAACAAAGTCTGGATGGGATGGCTAGCGAGTAAGCTAGCAACATAGTTACCGATTCACACAGAGAAGAAAACAAAGCTTGCGTTAAAGCAAGCGCACGAACTGTGTGACGGGCTGGTGACGGGCGAGATTTACTGCAGCTCAAAACAAAGCTAATAATTGCTGCATGCGTCGGATGAATCCGACACATTGAGCGCTTGTTAAAAGACCTACAACGCAGAAATATAAAGAATAAGCTGATGGCGGGAAAAAACAGTTCCATTCGTTCCAGCAAAATAACTAGTTAATGTCATATTGCATTAACTACTGGCCTGGGATCAAAGCATGTAACTATATTTACAAGGTAATGCGTACTATATAAGTAGAACGGATTTTATTAGATAACGTGTTTACCATGTTGAGAAGCGAAATATAATAAACAAAAGGCACATTTTGCAGGCGAGCGCACGGTGGCTTGTCCCCTTCCCCCCGCGACCACCATCTCGTTATATCTGACGCATTACTGACCGTTCAGTCGGATGCTGAATTGTCGTCTTTTCTTGTCGTGCTCCACTCGGAGAGGAGTGTTGATGTCCAGGACGACGTTCATCTGTGCAGCCTGGGCCATAACGACTGTGGGTCTGCTGTGTGTCAGTGAGCCACGGCTGATCCGGCGGCGATGAGAGGCGCATTCATGCCTCGCCGAGAGGTGAAGACGAGCATCCGATCCTGCGAAAACACGCCATCCGCGGAAATCAGCTGTGAAGTCACGTGCTCGCCGCCGACCAATCAGGACAGGCGCGTTGTTTTGACACGCGCGGTCTCTTTAAAAAGAGCTAGATGCGGCCGCCAGGTGGAGATACATGTTTGCTGTTCAATTTTTCTTTATTAGCGATAATTTATAAGGCATGTTGGGAACTTATTATATAATCGAGTACAATATATTACAAAGGTATTTTAGAAAAAAAAATAGAAGGTTGTTTTCTATATTCTTGTGTACTGCCTAACCAAAATCAAAATATGGTGATGTATTTAGTTAGATCATTTCTTTTTAGCTGTACTTCAGGCCTAATGTAAGAGTGATAAAAAATGCTAATTTAAAAGGAAATAATCAATTAGTTTAATCTCTCTCTCTCTCTCTCTCTCTCTATGATGCTGTGATGATGTTACAGTTAAAGTTTTGCATCAGAACTCAGTCAGAGGACAAAAGATCTCAAGGATCTCAAGTTTTGTCTCTCTCTTCAGTGGCGAGTGTTACATTATAGCAGTTAACGCTTTTATTTCAGTCCTGAATCCAACTGTGCAAGATGAATGTCCTTTTTGTACTGACAGAGAGACCGTTTTTCACCGTTTCATGCGTTGTGAGAGATTGAGATCTGTTTACAATGATTGTGTTTATTGTTGGATTTAAGTATTGTAAAAACAAAAAGAGGAAAGGACGCTTGTTAAACTTCATTTTAGGACAAGCAAAAATGGCGATATATATTAGTAGAAGGTACAAAATCCTCTATGATACAAACTGTCAAGTTGAACTGGTTTTTAAAGGGCCTATAAAAGCAAGGGTAAGGAATGGTTTTGTTTTGTTTTTATCTATGAAGGAGTTGGATAAGTTTGAAGACATTTGAAGTGCAGAAAATTTGTTGTGGCGCGTTGTTTTGACACGCGCGGTCTCTTTAAAAGCTAGATGCGGCCGCCAGGTGGAGATACATGTTTGCTGTTCAGTTTTTCTTTATTAGCGATAATTTATAAGGCATGTTGGGAACTTATTATATAATCGAGTACAATATATTACAAAGGTATTTTAGAAAAAAAAATAGAAGGTTGTTTTCTATATTCTTGTGTACTGCCTAACCAAAATCAAAATATGGTGATGTATTTAGTTAGATCATTTCTTTTTAGCTGTACTTCAGGCCTAATGTAAGAGTGATAAAAAATGCTAATTTAAAAGGAAATAATCAATTAGTTTAATCTCTCTCTCTCTCTCTCTCTCTCTATGATGCTGTGATGATGTTACAGTTAAAGTTTTGCATCAGAACTCAGTCAGAGGACAAAAGATCTCAAGGATCTCAAGTTTTGTCTCTCTCTTCAGTGGCGAGTGTTACATTATAGCAGTTAACGCTTTTATTTCAGTCCTGAATCCAACTGTGCAAGATGAATGTCCTTTTTGTACTGACAGAGAGACCGTTTTTCACCGTTTCATGCGTTGTGAGAGATTGAGATCTGTTTACAATGATTGTGTTTATTGTTGGATTTAAGTATTGTAAAAACAAAAAGAGGAAAGGACGCTTGTTAAACTTCATTTTAGGACAAGCAAAAATGGCGATATATATTAGTAGAAGGTACAAAATCCTCTATGATACAAACTGTCAAGTTGAACTGGTTTTTAAAGGGCCTATAAAAGCAAGGGTAAGGAATGGTTTTGTTTTGTTTTTATCTATGAAGGAGTTGGATAAGTTTGAAGACATTTGAAGTGCAGAAAATTTGTTGTGAGTAAATGGCTTTATATCCATGCTGGTGAGGTTCAGAGATCTCAGATCCATAATCTCAATTCCAAAGTTCACAGACTTTGCATAAGAGAAAGGAACAAACACAAAACCAAACACAAATTCTTCTAATCACAGGTTAAAAACTACAGCACATCCTGCCAACAGAGGATGGGTTAAAGTTTACGAATAAAAACTATAGCATACAATACACACAGTATTTCAACGGCAAATACTAACCATTGGAAGTTATTTCTCATTAGTAAGATGATCATTTTAGTGAATCACTTTAGCATTTTTCACATAAATAATCACCTATAGCACCTCTCAGATTTGCATCTTTAAAACTACAAAAAGAACAATATTTGAATTTATGTGTGAATGACAGTACAATACAGAAATTGGTCTTAAGCATGATAATAAAAATAATAATAATAATAATAATAATGCATTTAGGGATAGACACCACTGGCCAGTCTGCAATCAGATTTAAAAAAAAGTCTAGGCTCAATCATACACACACATTATAAATTCATTCTCGTTTGGATGTGTCTGTGTATTTAAATGTAAGTTTATAGCGGTGTTATTTCATCTTATTAAAAGACCCTTAACATCTTGGCAGTTTCTAGACAGAACTAAGTTGATGCATATTTGGCAAAACCAAAAGAGTTTGGAATGTACTCGATATTTTGAAAACCCTACACACTATTAGGGCCTCATTTAGGTGTATGTATATATTTAGGGCCTCTCTAATATCTTCCTCAGGGTGTTGATGACATCCTCTCCACTGTTCCAGGGCACCACACTGGCCTTGAACTCTCCAGGTTTGGCTTCCTCCATCTCTTGGATCAGTTTGTGCATTGGAAAGTCCCAGCGTGGGAATGCTATATCGCCCGGTGACAGTGTGAGTGACGGGCAAAAGTCATTGGCCCCATCGCCCACGTACAAAACCTTCTGGTACGGCCGTCCGCCCCTCTCTCGCACACGCTGGGCCACGTACTGCCTCACCACCACCGCTTTGCACATGTTCGCAGGGCATCGCAGGCACTCATGGGAGTGGAAGGGGCGAAGCTGCAGCTGCCCATTATCATCAAAGTGAGCTGGGTTGGTGAAAATGCGCAGAAAAAGTGGGTGGAAGCCCAGGTGCTGCAGCCACGTCTCGATGAAGACCATATTGGCGTCTGACACACAAACGACTTCAAAGTCCCTTGAAGGCTGGGAGAGCAGGAAATGCATCAAAGTGGGGATGCCTGGGCAGGGAGGGAGTTTCTCCACTGTGCCTCGAATAGCCGCCGGGGTGACGCCTTGTTCGGCGAGGTAAGCCAGCACACGCTGCATATACTCATTGTAGCAGCCGGGACGGTAGGTGTCCTTCAACCAGCCAGGCAGGACTCCACCAGGCGCCACAGTAACCATAGAGTCGTCGCTGCACTCGTCCACCAGGGTCTCGTCAAAGTCAAAGAATATAAGGAAATGCCTGTCGTTAGGGGGCGGAGCCTGAGCTCTGCTTCTCTGTTGGGGCTCCTCCACTCCAACGGGAGGATGGGGTGGAGAAACGCAGCAGTTAAAGACAGAGTCCCGCATCATGGATGGGAGGGAAGAACAGCACAGATGTCTTTTACGTCTCTTTTACTCTTTTTGCTCCTCCACTGCAAATGAAAAGAGCAATCCAGTTATGCCAGAACTTCAAGCAGACAAAAGAAAAAAAAGAAGAGGAGAAAACTGAAAAAGATAAACAAGCAGAATGTGGTTGCAGAAGGAAAAACAAGCCATTGAAACACAGCTGTGAAGTAAATAAAACCTTAGCCCTAATATTGAACAAAATTTTATATTTACAAAGTCTTCATCAATTCATTGCAGTCTCGTGCATGCTCCTTCAATTTAAAAAAAAAAAAAAAAAAAAAAGTCCCCCCCCCAGATACAGATACAAGGCCACATATTTATTTTAAATATTGACAAATCTGGCATTCACTTGACTGAATTCATGAATTGAGACTATATTTAAACTGAGTTTCTATGTATGAAACTTTCTTTCGAGTTGTCTCAAAAGTTAGAAAATCTTGTTCACAGCTCACATTGTTAAAATATAAACACGTATTTAATATGTAGTAATATTTTCTTTAAAAGACAAGTCGTCTTGTTTCTTAAATTTAATATATTTTAATTTATATAAAACGTTGATTTATTGTCTGAGGACTGAGTTTTTATTAAGTGGTAATCTCATAAATAAAAAGAAAACGATGAAATTATACATTTGTGTTAAGAGCATTACTGATCATCTCTGATTCATTTATTTGGAAATGTTGCCATTTTAAAAACTGATATCAGGTTGTGGGACGTATTGTGTCTCATGTCAACCAATATCAGTAGGTCGATTCACAGAAGGCGTTTTTAACTTTTAGACTTGTTTATCTATATTTATGATGATGCAACTCGCCTCTTTTCACCTTAAGCTCGCCTCTGCGTAGTGTCAACCTATAACAGAAGAATACAGAGAAATATGACTTTACATTTACCAAACTATAGCCTACTCACAAATGTTTCCATTAAGCGAGAACAGTCTCGTTAGCAGTGAGCGTTCACAAAATGTGCTGTTAAACGATATAGCCGACTGTAACAGAAGTTAGATGACAGCGTGATTATTTTTTGTCTCGCTCTAATGGCTTGTAATCAAAAGCAGTTAGGCAGCATATTACTATGACCTTGGTTTCACTTTACATGCATTAGAGAACAGATGATGCAACAGAAGCACCTGGGTTTTCGTGCATTTCGATACTCGGCTCAAGGTATAGTTTTAAAGTTAAGCAAAATAATTAAATTGCAAATTAATTTCAGATTTAACAAAAAGTATGTAATGTATAAGGTAATGACACCAGAAAACCCACAGCATATAAACAGCCAACAAGGACATGGCTTGGAATAGCCTAATTGTCAGGTAAAACAGCAGAATACCTTGAGCAGGACGTCCAGTTTAGAGGTTCATCACTACTGATCGCTGCCTCCTGCTTCTGCCTGGCTTCTCAAAAGTGCTGGAGATTTACGGTCCGACCCGGTCTTATGGAGCCACAGTGACGCGCTTCGGATGGGCCCCGCCTCTCATCCATCACTGCATCCACTGACAACCTCAGCGACGCGCTACTGTACAGATCATCTACAGCTAGAGCTTTTACAGATAAAATACGATACTAATTTAATAAAGGTAAACAAATTGGTCAAAAACTGGACTGAAATGTCGCAATGTAGCCTATTTATTTGTACATTTTTATTGTACATTCAGTAGGCTACTTCCATAAGAGCGTGAGAATGAGATGATGAGGGGAGATGAGGGGTTTTTACAAATGTTTTTGCTTAATTTTTGCACATTTATGTACGTATGCACTTTGTCGCATTAGTATATTTACACGTCACTCGCATTAATAAAAATATAGCCTACAAAAGCACATTTAAAATTTACGGCAACAATGTGCCGCTATAGCGCAGTAGGCTATTGGATGGTTCATCATACACATAAATAAATAAATGCACATTCTGTTATTATTTATGACTAAACTATAACTGAGAATGTTAAATGGTTTTTATAGGGGGTTTAATTTAATCCAAGGCGAGTGCAGTTTGTATCCAGAATCACTACCGTGTTTAGTCTTGTAAGAACATCCCGTACTTTATAGTTCCTTCTGTAGAGAAATGCTAATGACAGCCTGTTAAAAAAGGCTATTTTGGGAGGAGTGGAAAAGGGAATGGTTTGTCATTATCACCATCCCTAAACAGGAAAGTCTTGACAGCCTACTTGATGGGATTTTTGTTAGTCAATAGAATACTTTACATTCAAATGAACTATTCTGCAGGACTATTGGGCAGTGGATACAAAATGAGACTACTGATTTATTCCGAGAGCATAAGGGCATCTGTCAATCAGTTGTAACTCTATACAGATAAGGATATCAAATCTGTGACAATGTGAAGAAAAACACTGAATGCAAATGTCCTTTGTTTCATTTTCATCACCAGAGTTGAATGAGTTCAGGACACTCACTGATGTATTATTTCTGCATTCAACACACACACACACACACACACACACGTCTGGTTTGCTATCCTTGTGGGGACTCTCCATAGGCGTAATGGTTTTTCTACTGTACCGACCGCATATTCTATTGCCCTACACCAACCCTACCCCTAAACCTACCCCTCACAGGAAACTTTGTGCGTGCTTAGATTTTCAAAAAACTTCATTCTGTGTGATTTATTAGCTTGTTTACCCGTGGGGACCTCAATTTAGGTCCCCACCGTGACACGAGTCCCCATGAGTCTGTGTGTATTCAGGTTCAAGTCCCCACCAGAATAGAAAAATAAGTACACACACACACACACACACACACGAGTGTATTTTTTATTTATTTAAAGCTAACCTTTATATATTAAAAATGTTAAATTTTTTCACATTTAAAAGTGCTTGCCTAATTTTTTTTTTCCTTTTCAAATCAATGCAAGACTAAAACAAAAGGCACTTGCATATAACTTTATCTAATCTTTACAAAACAAGGTCAAAGGTATAAAGAGATTGAGGTCATACTCAGAAAACAGGCCCTTTCTAGTCATTAAAAATGCCCCACTTCCCATACTGCTTTTAGTCTCCCCCAAACACAATTACAATGCACACATACACAAATTCAGACAAGCGAGTTGTGCTTGTGGCTAATTCAATTTTACTTCTTTAAAGTTAGCAGAAAGTGTTAAATGAACAATATAAAAAAGGCCCAACATTAATGCAAGTCCATCATGGTGTCTCAAAAACAGGAAAACAATACAAAACCGATCTCAACAAAGGTCAGATGTTTCTGTACCAGACACAACGCTTCAAATTATACACTGCTGAAGTCGAGAAGGTAGAGAAGTTGAAACAGACTAGCTGAGAAGAGATTGGAGTAAAAACACCTCACAAGAATAAACATTATTATGGTCTGCTTATTTTTCTTATCTAGCAAGGTTTTATTAGAAAGTGCATTCCATCAACTGATGGAGAACGGGGAGAATCAGACAAGTAGCCCAAAACACACTGAGTAAAAAGTAAAAAAAAAAGCATATGATTGACAGCCACCTGAACCAATAAGAGTACTTCTCAGGTGAGGAGGGCGGGGCATGAAAGCAAAACACAACTTCATACGAGACAAACTACAGTTCTCTGACGTATACCAAATCCCCTTGTGATTCTCCCCATTTTCCAACAGCCAGCCATCTTTCACATGTCAGACACATGATAAACAATTCTCTGTCAGTTGCGCAAACCTCTTACTTGGCAGTAAAGTGCAGAGGACAGATGCCTTTGTTTAATGAGAGTGAACAAAAAAAATTCACAATCAATCAATCAGCCGAGTCTGATTGAGTCAAGACTTTCAATCACTTTATCTGTGCTGCTCCTAATGTCACTATTTAACACTCACTCACACACTAATCATCTGCATGATGAAGAATCATGTACCAGGAAAAGACAGAGAGCAACTAAAAAGCAGCTTTTGATACCAGCACCACAGTCATAAGATCAGTCAAAGACACATACACACACACACACACACACTCAGCTCCTACATTCGGTTGAATACGATTAGAAACAAACCCTTTCTGCATCTTCCAACCCTTCACACAGACTCTCACAAGCACGCATCTCAATTCAACATAGAACTCTGATTTCCTTTTTAAAAAGTCTCACAGAGCATCTACTTTATACAAATAAAAATATTGGTAAGCGAGTTAGGTTGTATAGAACATACAGTAAAACTAATAAATGATCTTGTTTTGCCTTTAATTGCAGTCTTCCTATGACACATCACAGCATTGGTCTTCCTTAACAGTCTCAATCTCCGACTGAACACGCCGGAGAGCTACAGGCATTACCCAGTAAGCATATTTTTATTTTATTTAATTAAAAAAAAAAGGAAATAAAAAGAAAGCAAGAAAACTCCAATATCTGAATAAAATCACTGACAATCACAATCAGGCAACAGAAACGTTTCAGTCATTTAGACTACGCTGAGTTTACCGCTTAAGTGCTGTATACTATGTTTTGTGTAATGACTTGTATATGATTCGTTATGTAGAATAGGAATATTTTCCGTTGTCGGGAAGACCTGCATTTCTAAAGAGGTTACACTGCATTTTTTTAAATCTTTTGAAACCTTTAACCTGTGAACGATTAAACCCGTAGAACCTTTGCAACAGCAGCTGAGTTGATAAAGAGTTAGAGAGAGAACCACATTTGTGCCACTGAAATCCCAATGGCCCATCGTTTTGATCGTTGTGACGGAGTTTGAAGCGAGGTGAAGTGAATCCGAGTAATGCTTTAGGAAGTTTGCGCTTGTGTTCTTGAGATCAGTTCACAGAGATCAGTCCTGTTTGGTCACGAGTGCTAGTGGCAAGTTGGTTTGTAGTATATCAGTTCTGTATCTCAGACACAAACACACACACACACACACACGCAAACATTTCATTGCATTTCACTGAGTTCCAGCTTTCTGATTCCTGTGAGAATTAGATGCATGTTGTCCATCCGTCTGCTCTGTTCTCCAGCGAGCACCTGATTTCACATTAGTGAGTTTGTGTACGAGACACCCTGTTTCAGTGGTGTTGCGGAGCGGCGCCCTGTCGCAGGTACGCATCCTCGTGTGCGCAGTGGTTTATTGGCTCGCTCTTAAACAGGGCGGGGGGAGGGGGCAGGACAGAAGGCTGCACTGAGATCTGCTGAGGGGCGTGGCTCGTCATGGGGGCATGTCCTGTGTGATGGACAGGAGTGTGAGTGTGTGTGGGGTGATGTTGCGCGGGCACCGTCTGCATGTGCAAATGAGAGAAGCCGTGGGCAGTGACCACCCGTTGCGGTAGGGGCCCCACCGTGGCAGGACTGATCATTACGGGGCCCACAGGCGTCGACTGAGTGGGCTGGGTTGGGCTAGGCGCGTGGCTTGAAGAAGCCGTGTGGCCGGTAAGGTGAATGGGAAGTGCCATGCTGGCAGGCTGAAGGGTCACCGGGCTGGTGACCCGGAAGCACTTCTCTCGGTGCGCCTTGAGCATGTTGGAAAAGCGGAAACGCTGGCCGCAGATTTCGCAAGGGTATGGCTTTTCCCCCGTGTGTGTGCGACGGTGCCGCTTCATGTTGGGCCGACTGGTAAAACTTTTCCCACAAATCTCACAGATGAACGGCTTCTCACCTGAAGAGAAAGAGAGAGATGGGAGAGAGAAATTAGATCTTGTTTCCTTCACTGGAAATAAAGCTACACGGGCAGCAGGACTTAAACATGTGGTGTCTGATGTTATTACAGAGAACGTCTGGGAGTGTTTAACCACAAGAGTTTAAATGCGTCCGCTACAAGGTTAGACTTGAAGAACCAGCTGGAGGATATGGGAAAACATCAGAAAGACTCTGAAATGGAACATAGAGAACAACTAATACACTACAATAACAAATCTTCAATAAACCCAATTGAATCAAGGAAAACAAGGGCAACAATTCTTCAAGTCTATAAAGTCTTTAGAATAGTTCAAAGGAATAGTTCACCCAAATTTGTTTTTCATTATTTACTCACCCTCATGTCATTCCAAACCTGCATAAGTTTCTTTCTTATGTTGAACACAAAAGAAGATATTTTGAAGAATTTTGAAGAACTAAACAGTTGTTGGTCCCCATTGACTTCAGAAGGAAAATAAATACTATGGAAGTCAATGGGAACCATCAACTGTTTGATTACCAGCAATCTTCAAAATATATTTTATGTTGAACATAAGAAAGAAACACAAACAGGACAATGATGGGCAATTGTGATGAGAAAAAAAATATTTTTAGGGTGAACTATCCCTTCAAGTCTTTTCAACAACACTAAATAAACAAATTAACCTTTTTGAACAGAACTGTTCTACTCTTGTAGTATAAACTTTTTTTTAGCATTAAACATACATCTTAAAATATTTTACAACTGCTTTTAATTGATATGTTTTTGGCATACAAAAACCATACTTACTATAACCATATTTTAATTTAGTAACAACT